AGCCGCCGGCTGCCCGGGCCAGCCCAGGGTTGGCGACAAGTGCGGCTGCTCCAGCGGTGCCCTGGTGCTACCAGCGCCCCGGGCACCAGCTCAGGACTCCGCTTATCTGGAGGTGCACACAGTTTGCCAGCGAAGCTGAGGCCAAGAGGCAGGTGTTGCTGCACCAGCCAGGGCCGCAGGCTCCCCAGCCGGGCATCCCTCCACCCCGAGCCCACCTGAGGGCGGGCAGGGCCGTGTCTGCCACCCAGTGCGGGGTGAGCGAGAAGAAGAATCCTAAGCACAAAGAAGCCACAAAGTCCGGCCTTCTTGTCCTGCAGTTTGTTAAAATCAGCCCTTGTAGCCTGGACTCTTACTGGTGTCTACCCCAAGGAGTAGTTATTTGATCATCATATAAAAAACCCAAGGAAACAGCAAGCTCTGTCACGCCAGAAGTGTCAGCACAAAAGGAACGGACACCCCCAGCTGAACACTCCTTGCACAGAAACAACCAAAGAATGAAGGCAACATAAGCTATCACACTTCTGTTAGATGTGCAACATGGACGAGGTTTTGCAACTCGACAGCATGATAAGAATAAAACAGACTAGAGAGAGATAAGGAGACGTGGAGCAATTTTGCTGTGTGGTTACCTACCACAAGAAGGGGACTGACTGCTCAAAATGGAAACTGCATTGGTGCAGTTGAGGCTTGCAGATTGTAGTGCATAAAACAAAAGCTGTATGGGCAGTTTGGTGAATAAAAGTCAGTCAGCACTTTTTATAGTATCAGTTTAAACCCTTTTTATTTTGAAAACATCAAGTTCAACAATGCACCTCAGAGTTATAAACTCAGCAAGTTTACAATAGCATGCTATCCCAAAGCATACTCGTTTCAGGCAAGTCACAGAGATGCACACAGACTGGAGTGATACAGAATTCCAGACATTTGCTAGCTCCTTTTGGAGGAGTAAGGCTGAAGATACCCACTATTTCCTGAGAAACAAGTTCTGGATTTCCCCGCTGAACTAGACGCTTGTGTTCTTTTCCCCAAAATCTGTACTCTACATGAAATTGGCCAGTTAGCACAAATGCTGCAGCATCATCTCACCCAGTAAAGTTCACAAAGTAAAAACAAAACCCAAAACCAATTTCCTTTTCTGAAAGTAAAGGGAACAGGAGGCAATCTATTTAACCTCCTGGAGAAAAGATGACCTTGGTAAATACAGGAAACCTAGTCAAACACAACATTTTAGATTCCACTTGGATAACATGTTTCAGCAACAGTCTGACCTTGGTAAATACAGGAAACCTAGTCAAACAACATTTTAGATTCCACTTGTAGACTGTTGCTGAAACATGTTATCCAAGTGTCCACCTCTAGTAAAAGGAGACAACTGTCAACAATACACAGTGACAGAGGTCACTGAGGACTAGCAGTGACACTAACCCACAGGACAGTTTTTACCATTAGGGAAGAAAAAAGCCCTCAAGAAAACGCCCAAAAAACTTCCAAACACAGAAATCTCATGAAAAGAGTTTTAACTACAAACAGCCAGCCAGGCATGAGATTCACAGAAGTAAGTTTTCTGCTCCCTAGGACCCCAATCCTGGAAGTCAGAGATGCTGGAAAGAAAACTCACTTTTCCTAGAAGGAAAAAACAAGCCATAAAATCAACTGACTAAAGGTTGGAACAGTCTAGTCTGCCATTTTCTTGACCTAGTGCAGGGATATTTGATCAACCTTTAGGAGACAGAAGTGGCTCAGAATCCTCCTCAGATGTGCCCCTCAGGTGAAACTTTAAAATGCAATTACAGATAAGCAGTACTGTTGAAATTTAGAGGTCTATACCCGCTCCCCCATCTCCCTCCAAAAAAACCTTGGACTTGCATTGAAGGTGCCAATGCACAAGTAGAATCTTTAATTGTCATAACTTTTTACAGCATATTTGCAACACTCATCCTTGGGGCTTCATCATGTTCTCCCCTTCCCTTAAACAGGAGAACAGGTTGAGTCACCCCAGGAGCTATTTAAGGCCAACTGATTCTTGTAATTCTGAGAAAAGAAAAACAACACCACACCAATATGCTCTCCTGAGCAAGAGGAAACATCCTGAAGCAAAGATAAAACCATGCTTGACAGTCATTTTTCTGACCATAATTAATGTGTTTTGTCTCTCGGTGTGCATTTTCTTACTTGTGGTGTGGAAGCTTTTACATCCTCTTTGAGAATGGAAAGAGACTGGGAGAACCAAGCACCCATACACAGTTTGTGTAGCTGTTTTCCTTCCCAGTAGATTTAAGAATCAAAGCTTCATGTGGTCTTCCCCCACTTGCAAGTACTGCAGGCTTTGCTCACCATGCAGCAATCCTACCTTTCCTAAAGGGGGTTGTATTTAACCTTTCAATATTGCCACAAGCTTCACTGTCATTTGAATGTAGCAATTGTTCACAATTCTGTACTCTGCATTCAGTGTATATTCTGGGGTGAAAGTGGAGCTGGCATAGCTGTTATGCAAACTAGATAGTTTGTAGAGTGACCACTGTGGAAAGGCAGATGCTTAGGGAGCTACATTGTCCACAGAAGTAAATACTTTTTTAAAGTCAGTATTTTACAGTAACGTCAGAATAGAATAGTTCTGGGAAGTCCACTGAGGAGAGACACACAAACATCTCCATCTAAACATGGAGATACCTCAGGTATGAAACACCAGAGACAGACCCTTACAGCAAAAACTATGAAGAGACAACATTCACACAGAAGACACTCCAACATAGAGATAATTTTTTCTGCCACCACCCTGATAAAAATCTAAACCTGAGAGAGACCAACTGCAGCTACCCAGAGATAACTACTCCCAGCTACAACTTTTGCTGCGTGGTACAGTACATAGGCTGGGCTTCAATTAATCTATAGCAGATTTGACATATCATCTCTGTATACCATGTATTTTGGGACAAAGACCATAATGTCTAGTTATTTTTCCACTCTTGCCTAGGACAACAGATAAATTTAGATCACAAGAAGCTTTCCCAGGTAATGAAGCATATTCTAGGAAATACTATTTTTTAAAAACAAAATTTTTTTACTATAAGCTTGTAGAAACTGTCTCTTTCACATCAACAACTCTTGGATAAAGTTCTGCAAGAAAGAACACCTCAAAAATTATCTAATTTTAGCCAGAAGTAATCTGAAAAGCTGCTGATCTCTATGTCTATGTTCTGTCCTTGGTTGTGCCAAAGAGCCACTTGGTCCATGGATGCAGTTCCATGTGATGGATAAGCTCAATCACAAGCTTGCTGCTGCTACTTAGGGACAGCCTTACACTTAACTCTTCCCCCAACCCTATCCTCTCATCCTCACCACACAAACCTTACACAGCTTGCATCAGCTCTGAAGCTCACTGCTGAGCAAACCAAAAAGCAACCTTCTGAAACCCTACAGGGAATATCAGAAGTGATTAATTCACATCAAGCTGTATCTCAAGCCTAACCTAAGTATGTAACAGGACTCAGGGGTTGCTTTTGAAGAACCAGATGTAACACATTCTTTCTAAAGCTTTCAGGCTTTTTAATTCTACTACCAAGCTCTATGTTACACTACAGAAAACTTGAAGTCCTACAACAGACTTTTAGACCAAAAGTCAGGATAGCCCTATCATGTGAGCTACTCCCGATCAGCTGTTTGATAGCTGAGTGGCATATCCAAGTTAGAAGGCAGATTGTAGAGATGTTCCATCCTGCCAAAGACTTCAGATGTCTCACTTGACCTAAGCTGCAGCACCACTTCTGCAGCACTAGAGGAATGTGCCAAGCCAGAGAGGTGACAGAAGCAGACACTACAGTTAAAGCTGCAGAGTCTAAGAATCCACTGCCTGGATTTCAATTCAGACAAATGATGAGACAGTTCCTGAAAAGAGTGGGGTTGGATTTTCCTGAAACTTTCAAAATCTGCTTAGAGAGAAGCTACAAGGTTCAAAAAACACATGCATGTTTTGGCATGCTTGAGAGTTTTCTTTCTTAAATAGAATTTAAAACTTTTTTGTAACATTCCAGTTTCTGAGCAATATAAAGTTGCAATTCCTGGGAAATTGAACTTCATCTCCACTGAAACCTTCAGCAGTACTGATTTATCTACTGCTTACTCCAGAAGACCAAAGGAAATTAATCAAGTTAGCACATCAAGTAAGCCAGCAAAACACAAAAATCACATCTTTATCAATAT